CGTTCACTTACCACTTGAACTGAGGCGCTAAAGCGATCTCGCGCCTGCTGCATTAAAGAATGCCAAAACTGTATTTATTGTTTGAATTTCGTTATGAATTTGGCATAATTTTAAAGCTGATACTTTGTTTATTAAAAAGTAACAAAGCACAAAGCTTATTGCGATTACTGGACGGCAAGTGCGCTGCAAACAGGCTAATATGAAGTTCACGCATTAACAGAACACAGCATATAGACTAAGATCTTGATAACAAGAAGCCATATTAGTAATGATTATAAACGAGAATTGTTAACGATATTGCCAAGATCCACACAGCTGACAGCTTTACCTGTTGGATGTTTTTTCAAGTTGTGCACGAAATAGACTGCTTTTTTGCACTTTCACTTCGCACGTCTCCGTCATTTTGATCTCTCTCGTGCTGCACAACTGAGCTGCATTTAGCAGGCATTTCGGCAGAGATGAGGACTGTTTGAAACTTTTTTTCCACTAAAACTTTGATGCGCATTGTGTTTAATACGTGAACATAACAAAAGATATGATCGCAACACAATCAGGAAATATTTTTAAGTCATAACATGTAAATATACATGTTATGTATACAAATACATAAAAATACACTCTAAAAATGCTGGGTTAAATATGGACAAACCCAGCTATTGGGTTTGTCCATATTTTACCCAGTGCTGGGTTGTATTTAATTCATATTTCAATTCACCCATTAATACTAGCACTTTCTATTCTATCGATTTTTTAAAATTTATTAAAGAAAACCTTGCGTTGGGGTGTGCCATATCATACCGTCAACGACAATACCGGTATAATTTTTTACATGATAAAAAAGTGCCATATCGCGATATCAATGATATAGCGACGTGATGACGTATGGTGGATATACGTTCCCTAGCGCGCATAACAACAACACCACAAACCCAATAGGTGTGTTCGACTTGAAGCAGCGCTGCACAGACTGATCGGTGTATGACATCAAAGTATTGCGAGAGCAGTTCTAGAGCATATTCGAGCGAACACACCTTCAAAAATAGGCGAGGTGCATATCTTTAGTGAAGCGGCGCGGAGAGCCGTGAAAATGTCTGAAACGTGCCGCGGCTCCGCTGGTGTAAACACAAGCATGGACTAGAGTGGCCGCGTCAGAGCCGTTCCGTCTCGCGCACAGACCACACAACTTTCAAAGTATACTCAACCGCGGATGAGCGCGGACGGACGAGCTCGACACATATGTGCAGTACCACTTACTCTTGTCTTAACATTCACCTCGCGCATGCGCTGTTGTACGCGCACCGTCCGCGCAGTCTCAAAAAATTGCCTGCACGCAGACAGGGTACACAGCTCTTCGCAGGCCCTCCTGATGACGAAAATGACGTAATGCGGACGGTGGAAACTGCCCTTTATTTTGTTTGCACTAATAAATGCTGCTGCCTGCCAGCTGCAATCACCTATAAAACGTTGTTCCATGTTTGTTTTTTTCTATATCGTCATAAATACCGTTATCGCAAATATTCTTGAAATATCGTGATATAATTTTGAGGCTATATCGCCCACCCCTACTTGCTAGGTGTACTGTGTTAGACTAACTGGGACTTGCCCCAGCACTTACATTTTGTTGCCCTTTTGTTGGTTTAATTGCTTATATTGTCCTCATTTCATATTGTCCTCAAGTTGCTTTGAATAAAAGCGCCTGCTAAATTATTAAATGCAAATGTATTTAATTTTGCATTTTGCAAAATATGATGACTTTATAGTATTACACTATTTTTCCTTAGACAGTATAAATGGCTCTTTATATATGAAAATATACATCTGCCTTCAGAGGAGATTTTAGAAAGATGGTCGCTCACAAGGTGATCATCATCATATTCTAAGAAATCATATTCTCACCTAGCAGATGCTAAAATGAAAAAAATCCCATAGACTTACATTGAAGGAGGGATTCAAGCTGGGACCAGAAAATCAAAGACTTGGTAGTGAGCTTTATCACACTGTTAAGAATTCCATTAAACCCATTAAATCAGGTTTTGTGGCTTTTAGACCACGTCTGTTAGCTTTAAGAGTAATCTCGTACTCGTAAAACAAGACAAAATTCACTTCAGCAAATAATGTTACTCTCTGGGAAAATTGAATGAAAATATTGATGGCTCATCCTGCACTTGTTCATTTTTCCCAATCAGATGCACACTAGATTGATAATGCCCAGCCCCGTTGATACCACCTATGTCTAACTAGCAATATTTAGTAGTAAATCATGCTCATGGCTTTTTTGTTTTCAAAAATAATAAATAAATAATAACAAAAAAGAAAGAAAATGAAAATAAAAATGGGACAAGTCCAATCTTAATTTCCTGTTTTAATAAGAAATACATCAACACAGCAAGAAAAAAAATGTCCTCATCAAGCAATTTCATGGTGGTCTTTAATTCAGATGCAGCCCTGCTTCAAACTTACACACCACAATACCGATAGCCATAACTTCTCTACTGCACCACATAAAATATTCAGCAGCACTTCTCTAGAGCAGGTCATTTTTTACCCCACCGTATTCGTTCGACTGAACCAGCGCAAAATGAAAAGGAACCGAGGGGTGGCCCAGAAGAGGGGCGTGCGAGATTTTCGTTACAGCAGACACAAAATGAACGAATTCCAGGAATCTGAAGTAAATCATTCTGAGAGAAAAGCCCCCTGGTGATTAAAGGGTGGTGGAGGTGCTGGTCGCCAAGACCCTCGTAATAGCCTTTAATGTGAACTCTCTTTTTTTCCTGGAATTTTTTTTTTGTTTTTTCGAGAAACATTATATGTGCCTTTGAGGATTAAACCCCTAATACTAATGTTAGTGCTGATGGGTGTTAAACAAGGTACTGGCATGCATGCTAAAATCTAGGGCTGAATCCCTATTTGCATACTATTCTAAATGTTACCCATACGTCCCTTAAGGATTTCTAAATTAATTATTTATATACACATTTATTTCTTTATTTGCATACATATAATAAATTATAGAAATAAATAATAATGTAGATTAATACTTCCAAAAAGAGAAAACAAATATATTTAATGTATTATGACTCACTTTACCTTTTACTCGTTACTAAAACACAAGACTTTTACTGACTTATAAGCTCTGTGTCCCTTTGAGAGTTTCTAAAACATTTGACCTTATATTTATGTATATACATATAGGCCATCTAGAAAGAAAATATAATTCGATTTTATTTTAATTTAAAATGTTAATTTTAAAATAAAAATTGCATAAAAAATGCATTTATTTATATAATACCTTATTCATAATAGAAATATATACTTATTCTAATATAATATATCATTATAATAGATCATTTATTGTGTATTTATTGTAATAAATCAATTTTTCTAAATGGCTTATTAAAATACAATGCAGCTGTAGGTGACGATAACAAACCAGCCTACGCTTTCGTGTCCATCCAAACATTTGGTTACATATGTGTACTGATACTGTTGCTGTGTTTGAAATGACTCGTTCCCTATGAAGTGAATGCAACAGAGCACTACATAGGGAATAAGGAGAGATTTCGAAACAAAACTACATTTCTTCTATTCTAAATAAACCTTAAGTGGTCTAAAATGAGAGCATTAAAAAAGTAAGCAACTGCAAGCTTGCACGTGTTTTGGGCAAGAGGATTGGTTTGTGATGGTTTTCTGATGCAGTGCACAACGTCAGTCTAGCTCAAAGAAACCCTGGGCTAAGGACAGCCTGAAGTGTTGTGTCACCTCTCTTCCTGCGGGACTCCTTGATCTCCTCGCACATGCGGTCAAACTCAGGGTCCAGTTCAGAGGCGATCGTGGCGTGCGCAGTATCCTTCAGACTGCAGGCCCTGTGGCGGATGATTTTATCTGTGAGGAAGCACAATAGAAGATGGTAAGGGCAGAGTCGATGAAAAATTCATTTGGGTGGATGAAGAAAGAGCCATGTTCTTGAAGACTGACAGTAAGGTTTCTGAGTATTAGGGCTGCACAATTAATCAAAAAAATAATCAAGATCACAATTACAGCCACTGCAATAAGCTAATCGTGAAAAATGACAATTACAACACAAACTCGAACACACTCATTATAATCAACAAGGTGTAGACACTGCGTAAATAAGCTCCGTAATTTACTCCAAATTTGAAAAGCAGTTGTTTTAATGTAAATTCTATTAATAGAAATGAATGATTGTGATGGCATAATCAAGGGAAATAACAGAATCATTTTTTTGTCTTAATCCTGCAGTGCTGCTGGATATGGACAAACTATAAAATAAAAATTATAGTTACCCTAATATATTTATGATGTCATACACACCTAAAGCAAAAAACACATAATACATTTACAGCAGCATGAAGTTATTTGATGCTTTCCAACAACATTAAGAGGCCACTTCCATTTTCAGAAATGCAACCAAGTTGGGAAGAGTTTAACTTTACGCAAATGTCAGTGATGCATTGCTGCGACCATCAATAGAAATGAATGTATAAAATGTACATGAATGGCAAGACGGTGACGTTAATGTTACAGTGAACAATTTAAAATAAACAAAAAAAAATAAAAAATAAAACAAAGAGGCACAACAAATCAAAATAAATAAAATTAGGTGCTTTAAATCAAGCAACGGCTCACTGTAATCGATTAAGATTCACCCGAGAAACTTAAGCATCTGCTTTTTTATCTGAAAAACACCTCTGAGGCTGAAGCGTTCCACAGGCAGTCAATCAAAGTGTCTCTGTTTACAAAAACAGGGATTACTGTGTTTTCTCAAAATTCTGAGAGCTAGCATTTGTATTCTATCCTTATTTTCTCTCTCTCTATCGTTAAATCAAGCAGCATTCAAACATGTAGGGAGGAAAAATGTGTGTGTGTGTGTGTGTGTGAGTGAGAAGAGAGAGCGCGTTACTGGGTAGTCCTCATTACTCCAAGACAGGCTGGAGGTCAGGATCTGGCAAAGTTTGCCTCTTAATTGGAAGATGGGCCTAATTAAGCCATCTAGAGCGAGCGAGAGGACACTCTTTACTCCAGTCAAGGATATAATGGCAGGCTGAGAGGAAGAGTGTAAATACACTTATTTTGACTTTCAAAGCCCTACCCAAAGATCTCAGGCTGCTGGTGCCAAAATTGACAATTGAACAAATGGACCAGAGAGAAATTAAATCAGTGGTGCTCAGTCTAGATCCTTGTGATCTATGTTCCCACTGAATTTGGGCTATGTTTGGATTAGAATACCAATTTACTACTTACAGAGTCCTGCACAGTATATACAGCACATTATCAACTATATAAAAAAAGAAAATATAAAAAAATACATATACTGTATATAGATATATACATTCACCGTGTTTTACTATATTCTCAGAAATATACAGCTCCCCATAGTTCCCCAGCAAAGTACAGTACATACTTTCAGTATGAACTATGTGAATTGGGATGCAGACTTGAAAGTTGAAGCAGTTGGTTAGAACAGGGCTGGAAGGAAACTCAGCAGGGAGGCTGATGTCCAGGGGCACGATTAGGCAGCTCTGAATTAAATAATTTGAATAAGAAGAACCTTTAAACTTGCACACTAAGATGTGATTTTGAAACTTCAGCTGGGTTACAATTTCAAAGCGCACATTTTCTAGGAATCTGACTTTCAAACAACCACTGCGAGACTCTCTCTTGAATGAAGGGAGAGTGACATTCTCTATTTGGATCTGCACTGCATTTCAAGGACAAAAGTGAAGCTCACCAAAAAAAAAAAAAAAAAAAAAACAACAACAGCAAATGACCAAAATTATTACCTATATAACGAGGGAAAGGACACCTAAGATTTTAAGTGCAACGTTCATGCTTCAATTGTGAGAGTAATGCTTAACAAATGGAATTCTGACAGCTCCTAAATCCCATATTCCCCTGCTCTAAATGGACCAGAAGCCTCTTTCGGTTTCCTTATTAAAGTAGCTAATTGCGTTTTGTCTCATTCCTTCAGTGGCTCCTCTGTGGACGCTGCATTTAAACAAATTACCCACGTTCTCCCAGAAAATGGGCTACTGTGATTTATTCATAGGCACCGGCTGCATTTAGCCAACAACCTTCACTGGCTGACCAATTAATCCAGACAACTGGGAGTTAAGTCCTGACAAAAAAATCAGAAGTAGCCAGCTAGCAGACTTCCAATAATATAATATATGGTTGTATTATCTCATTTCACTCACAAACAATTATGTGGCAATCACATGACTGTTGCAGAAGGTTTTTAATATGAACATGCTCCTCTTGTTTTAAATAATGCATGTTATCACATTTGGGTCATACAGGATTCACCTTTCATAGGAGAAGGGCTCTTTGTCTCATTAGATGGTGTTTATCATGCTATCAAGGTCTTAAAAGGGGCAACAGTAAGGGAGCAAATAAAGATCACACATTCACCTTCATGCTTTTGGTTAAAAACCCAGCGTCAACTTACATAAATTCCCCTTAGAATTTCAGGCACTGTTTCCATGGCTCATTTCATTCTGGTTTAGTTTATATTCAGTGTACTATGTACATATATGGCACATCCATAAACACCAATAAATATCTGACATCATTTTCTACACTGCAAGTGTCCCAACTGACTGACCGTATGGCCAGAGAATAGCGAGAAGTCCATTAAAGCGATGAATGGGTTTTATGGAGACTGCTCATTATAGTGCCATTTTTCCTCTGTGGAGAGATCAGCGACAATGATTTCTTGTGCCTTTTGAATAAGGAAAGGTCAATGGGTTAATATCTAGCTGCGTTTATTGGCCTCAAATTCTCATATCTTTCAGTGAAGGACTGACAAGTCTGTCCGATTAATCATTGATTTAATGTCCTCCACGCTTCAAGTACAGCGGTCGCTGCTGCTGTTTTTTTGGTTGGTATCACTGTTTCCGAAACTCTAAACTAAATACTAGAGATGTGCTTGAATCGACTAGTTCTTTAACAACTGGTTAACTAGTAAAAACACTGAATGTCTTGAATGTCTGAAATTGATTTTTCCTGTACACCTGTATAATTTATTATAAATTTTGTGGATACATCATTTCTCAAAATGTCTGTCTCTACTAACCTACCATTGTTTTTAAGATAAAAGGCCAACATAAGATAAAAGGTAACATCACATGACCTAAATATTGAGCTCAACTCCACTTCACCAATGTTTATTGAAAAATGAATGACTTCCTGTTGCTGCATACTGCTGTTTGTGTGAATACCCCATAACAAGTGATGTTCTGCTATTTATCCAGCTGCTCTATATTGTGTATTTACCTCCGGGGTCCTTGTCTGGATTGTACTCTAACGCATTGCTGCAAATGAGGTCAATGTCCACAAGAAAATCCTTGGCGACCAAGTATTTGTGAGTGTCGATCTTCATCATGATGGTGGACAGGTCCATAGGCTGTTTGATAACCTCAAGGTAGTCTGAAACCTAAATCAGAGAAAAATACATAAACACATTTCACCCAAAAACATAATAAATGATATTCAATATTTTTGGTAAAAATTCTTGTTTTACTGTAATATTGTGAAACTCATTGAGCCCAAACTTTTGAATGGTAATATACAATACATATATTTTTATATTCTAATACATATATTTTTATATTCTAATATATGTATATATATATATATATATATAAAATACTTGTGCATCTTTTCTAAAACTGTCATTACTGTATTGTGAGGAATATGAATTATATAATTTTATTTTAATTCTATAAATATATCCCTTTATTCAAATCAGTAATGAAAATTTAGGAGAAATTCTCCTTAATGATAAAACATTTTGCACTGTAACATTATTTCCATGACAATTTTGCAAAACAATCTGAATTCGGGATTCATATGGCATGTTCTTGATTCGTCATATATATAGGCTTTGTGAGCTTCACCCTATAACAAACTCCAAAAGCTTCAGGAGACCATGGGGGAAAATGTGTCGCACTCTGTATTCATAGACACACCGTCCTCCTTGTTTGCTTCTTATATTGATGAACTTTTTAATTGCCTTCTCAAATTTCTTGATTCAGGTAACGATCCTGCCCGCAAGCTGTCAGATAATGACAATAATTTGATTTGTTTGGTCTGGGGGTTACTAATAAGCCATAGGTGCCACTAATTATATGGTAATATTGAATAGAATACAGACCCTACAGGCATTAATTATACAGCTGTTGATGTGCAGTAACAGCCCACCTCCTCAATGTCCACAGGTTTGCTGAAGATCTGGAAGCGCTTGTCGGTGGCGAGCCGCTTTGTGATGTCCCTGAGAAAGAGGCGGAGCTCGCGCAAGGTGTTCTCCTCCTGCTCCTCCAGTCGCCACTGCTCCTCTGGTGAGAGCTGCCGAGGGCCGGGGTCTTCAACGAGGGTCAGCACCTCCAGAGCGCACACTGAAAACACAAATACAGACACAAACCCTCAGTACAGTTTAAATACAATTATGAGAAAATCATGAAGAAGCTGACAGTTCTGATTTAATGATTTTTTTTTTGTACTTCTAAGGGAGTATGTAAAGTAGTGCTGGGCGGTATACCGGTTCATACCGAATACCGGTGTTTATTTTTGTTATGATATGAATTTTTAAAATACCGCAATACCGGTGTATGTCGCTTAAACAACGTTCGGAACGCGACACTGTTTGAAAAGGGTCACTTTTCACTGTTGCACTGTGGTGAGGGAACAGCTGTATGTGTTACTAAACGTGAAAGTTCCGAAACTGAAGCTGTAGAACTAATAGAACGTGATGACACAGAAGAACTCATCCACAATATCCACATTGACCGCCACAAATATCCACCGCCCCCTGCCATCAGCTCCCGCGTCTCACACACACGCGCGCGACTTTAGCACTAGATATAGGGCATTCTAAGTCAATATACTGCAGTATTTCCTCTCTCAATCAGTAGAAAATATGGTTAACACCCGGTCATGCATGAAAAAAAAAAAACCACCATGTACCGTGAAACCGGTATAATTTAGAAAAATACTGTGATATAAATTTTTGGTCATACCGCCCAGCACTAATGTAAAGAATCACTTTGTCTGATTTATAACCAAAAAAAACATCTTTATATTGCCTTTTAAATATTTTTCATTATTGATGCATTTCCTCTGGAAACAGTGTTTTCCCCCCAATGAGAGGAACAATTCAACAAAAAACTAGTTAAGGTCTAATTAAAATCAATCAAGATGTTTTCTATACTAAATAGACACAAGGAAGAATTTATTGCATCTGCAATTTAAAAAAAAAAAAAAGATTTTTTGCAAGAAACACAATAATAAAGATGAATATTTAATATTAAATTATTTAAATTCATAAATACAAAATCACAGACTTCTAAAAACTTTTCTAAATGAAACAAATCAAATTAGAGTTTAGAAACAATTTACTGAAAAAATCAAAAACAATATTAAAACATTTGTGTCTTAATGCTCTCCAAGGAACACAAAAGTAGCCTGATGACATGGTCTTTAGGAAATGTAAGGGCTAAATTAAAAAACAAACAAACAATTAAAACTATTTTGTTTCTTGTGATGTAATAAATGAACATTGCAATAATCACATAAACACACACGTGTGTTTGTGTGTGTGTGTGTGTGTGTGTGTGAGCATAAGAAGTCTCTTATGCTCACCAAAGCTGCATTTATTTGATCAAAAATACAGTAAAACAAAAATATTGTAAAATATTATTAGAAATTAAAACATCTGTTTTCTATTTGAAAATATTTTCAAACGCAAATTATTCCATTGATGGCAAAGCTCAATTTCAGCATCATTACTCCAGTCTTCAGTGTCATATAATCTTTTGAAATCATTCTAATATACTAATTTGCCACTCAAACATTTATTTACTTACTTACTATCTTATGTTGACAACAGTTGTGCTGCTTAATATTTTTGTTTAAACTGTAATACATTTTTTCAGGATTCTTTGAGGAATAGAAAGTAAAAAAAAAAAAAAAGCATTTATTTGGAATACAAATCTTTTGCAACATTATAAATGTCTTTACTGTCACTTTTGATCAATTTTATCCATGCTGAATAAACGTATTTATTTATTTCAAAAATAAAAATCTTACTGAACAGTAGTGTATTATATAGTATATATTATGCAGGAGACATCAGAATACGATTTTCACAATGGCAAAAGAATGCAGACCTACAAGAACCGTTAACAGAACATCACGAAAATCTTGTTATTCCAGTATTTTGTCCAGAAACTCAACCGGTTTTTGATCTGCAAACCTAAGTGTAATACCAGATGAAGTGCTGAACAAATGGTCCAAAACAACTGGAGAAGTTAGATGACACTGAAACTGTGCCAGAGCAGCTAGAGGAATTATAAACACTCCGCGTTATATATGGATGAAGTCGAGAAATGCTTCCCACCACAACGTGCGCCGCAAAGTATTATTGATTTCTGAAGAGCTCCAACAAACAACGTGACAGCTGCGGTAATTCAGAGCTGCATCTATACAAATAGCCAGAAATAACCAAACACAACAAGCGCTAATGTGGCACTGCCTTGTAAGAAAATATTGCTACAGAAAAAAAAATCTTCTCAGTAAACAGGCTGTGGACCTCGTGCTAATCCAAAGATCTGGGCAGAGTGCCTGGCAGTTGTTGAGCCACCAGCCTCAGCAATTTACTTTGTGGCAGCAGCTAGCGAACAGTCATGCTAACTGTGAGCGTAATTATAGCTAATGGTTAAGGCCCAGTGTTTAATAGAGCCCCTTTCTCCCACCACAGATGCTATGCTGCCAAAGGAAGTAGGGTTTGTGTTTTATTCAGAGCCGCCTGTGGTCGGCCCACAGGAGGACCCCTGCTCTGCATCAATGGGTCATGACTCATGATGCTTGCATTTCCACTTGAAAGCCATTCTCTGCTATAATGGCTCCAGCTGTGAGGAAGCCGATGAGCATGGCAATCCACCACAAGGAGAAGATATCCAGAAGAGAACATCAGGAACACCCTGGAGACCCAATTTATGCATAAGCAGAAGTAGCAATTCTGGAAGAGCAGCAGCGGTGGTGGAAGTAATTGCAATGACAGCAATAGTAGTTATCGACACCCAAAAATGAATTTACTCACAGTCACATTCTGTATGACTTTTTTTTAGCATAAATGATTAGTAGGGTTGGGTAACGTTCACATTTGAACCGGTACGGTACCGGTATCGGTACCTGAATTTCGGTGCCGGTACCCAACGGTACCTTTTTTCGGTACTTTACTCTCTGTGTAATTACAAAAACATTTATTTCAGTGAAAAAATAAGTCCAAAAGTCTCAATTTCAACATTTTGAACAAGGTATCGAGGCAATTCGGTCGGTGCCTAAAAAGTATCGAACTCGATACCCAGCCCTACTTAAAAGTACCGAGTTCGGTACCCAACCCTAATGATTAGGGCTGCCCCCTAAATAGTCGACTAATCGTTAGTCGACCAGAAGAGGCTTGGTCGACCAAAATTTT